AGATACATTTTATTAGATCAGACATTGATCGAATGAAATGTATCTTAAAATCTCGTATTTTTCTGAAATTCTTGCAAATACTTACTATTATTCAAATTACCCCGCTGTATCCTATATACTCACTTCCGTCGGTCATGCTGGACCCTCTCTCGTCCATCTCTCTCTTCACGTGTTCCAGCTTCTCCATTAATTTATTAAGAACTCGCGTTCGCTCGGTGACGCCGCCGCTAACGTCTCTGTACTGTTCCTTGACTTTCGACAGTTCTTCCTAGAGTAATTATTATAATTTACATGTCACTTCGTATATATAATTTAATGATATGTATAAATATGTAAAAAAATAATATTTGTAATAACATAAAAATATATAATTAAATAAATAACGTTAATTCTCTTACTTGCAGCGAGCGATATTGCGTTAGAGACGGCTCGAGCTGCTTATTGAGATAAGTTTCCCTCGTTTTGATCTTGTCCAAGGCACTCCCGATATCGGTGTAGATTTTGCTCAAGTGAGCCTTCGTACCGCTCAGATTGGTCGCGATATTCGTGCGCAATTGCTTCATCTGCTCGAGATGCGCTCTCCAGTCTCTTGAGTCTGCGACAAAGTTAAGAATAATAATTAAAAATATGCAACGGCGCTCGTTTCGCGCTAGTCGATTTTCACTCGAAAACATTCAATACCTGTCTTAACGGTCACTTTCAAACGAGGTAGAACTTTTTCCAGTTCCAACTGCCACTCTTCCCTGTTGGTCGTAGATTCCAAAATGCTGTCCAGTTTTTGCGTCTCGCTCTGAAACAATCCAGTAAAAAAAATCCAACTGACAATCCTAATACTGATATCGTTTACAAATTTTTTTTTGTCCGAGATTAAAGTTTCACCTACAATATTTTGTCCGTAAATCTTCGTGATGTCGTCTATATGTAAGATATCCTGATCGTCGTCGTCGTAATCGGCCATCATTTCCTCCTCTACTTTCTCCAAGATTAATTCCGCCTCGTCGTCCTCGATATCCGGTTCCGGGGTGGGCTCGTCGGGTGGGATATTTATCCTGACGCGACAGCAATGCGATACAATTCACGATTTTAATTCACGACAAAAGTAAGTAAAACAACATGGAAACCGCCAATTGCCTGTAATTACCTCTTCCACTTGAATTGTTGCACCTTTAAAGCGTTATCAGCCAGATTATCCAAAACGTAAACCGCATGCTCGCCGCTGCCCTGCTTGAGCTTGTTGGGTGGGAATTCCACGGGTATGTCGATCTCCCTGAGATAATCCAGGATCAGAGCTATCGTGGAATTAGGATCGTCCGACTCCTGCGGCATCTCGAAGCTTCTCCCCGCTTTTCTAATCAGCCACGCGGCCAGGCAAGTGAACGTGTAGAACTGCTCGCCGGGATTCGTCGGAATTACAAAATGATGCCTGTTGCCAATGTTCACAATTATATCTTATTCGTCAGGTGCATTAAACAGAACGCATTGTATCGACGCATCGTACCGATATCTCACCTATTGATCGGTTTCATCTTTAGCTCTTGCACGAATTCCGCGTCGTAATTCAACAACTTCAATTTCTCCAACAGATCTTCCATGCGAATGTTTATGACGTACGACGCCGACGGGGCTTGCCCGTCCTCCACGACGATTTTTTGAGTATCTCGAAACATGTCATCGCTGGCCTCCTCGAAATGTTTTGGAATCAAAGTTTGTGTTTTGTAGTCAAATCTGCAAAAGGATTAGTAAACACTTTAGATGGAGATGTTGAGTGATTAAATTAAAAGGCCTGAATAAATGACAATGAACTAAAGTTGAAACTAAAAATTACGAATTAAAATGTTTAATTATCAGAATTAAACCAGGATTGCACCTAAAAATAATATAACTTTTTAATGTACTTACTAGATAGCTGCGAAGCAAACTAGTTTGGTATCATGTGACATTTACTCCTATATTCCAATGTGCTAGGAAATGGCAACATACTTTGTTGTTCGTGTGCTGTGGACGCGACAGAGATCGAAAAACATTGATTAATCAAAGAATTCATTAATCAACTGTACGTAATCCATTGATCAGGACTTAGGTTAAGTTGATCTTATATTGACAAACGTCAACGGCGTTACAAATGTGACTCTTGAACGGTTCTAGAAAAAACGATAGGCTTCACGATCATCATTCAGCAGTTGTCGACAAGTTTGACGAACGCGTTCGATCGCGATGTAAAAAAAAAATAGCGAAGTAAATAATGCAGTGAATAATGAAGTGAGAATTGATTCCGATCACCGAGAAAAGAGACACGCGACAATTGCGGCAAATCCAGCCGAAATTTAAACAAACTCTCGTTGATTTTTAATTCTCACAGATAGTCTCGTGATTATCTTTCAGTATTTGTTTATCAATTTCCGCAATTTCTTCCATGACTCAGATTCAATTCCGTCCTTCCGTCACTTTCGCGTCAAACTTGTGTATCTAATGTATCTACCGCTGATCAGCTGATGGCGTTTGTGTTCAGCACTCCGCCGCCACACTCCATTCGGCGCTGCGCTACGGCGTTGTCGGCGGGTCGACTGGAGTCTACCAAGTACCAGTAGGTCCACTAGATGGCCGCCGTCCGCACGCGATTCTTCGTCACGTCCGATTTTTCAGGTAATAATCGCGAATTTTCGTTAATGACGTGATTGAAAGTGTTTCGCGTCAAATGGAATATTTCACGAGGACACGCGGAACGACGCTCGATCGCGCCGGACGCGCGCGGTACGTCGAGGAGCGAGGATCCGTCGATTTCTCGCATGCGCTCCGAAGCCGATGGATTCCATTTATATAGCACCCGGAAAGGTATGACCCTCGGAAGCGTGTGCTAGTGATGGCACAACTGAACATCGATCGCTAAACGTAGAGCTATGGCAGATCTGCTCAGTGGGTGTTGTCACGATTATCGTAAGCTTCAAGTAGCTTTGAGTGTCTGACTCCCGATTGCGCATGCATCTTCGTGGCTCGGTCTCACGATTCACGGATTTGCACGCCTGCACGGTTCCGAGTCTTCACGTCACTCCTCGAAGTACCGCGATTTCCAAATTGGGGGGCAATCGAATAGGTCAGACGAGGTAATTTGTCGCTTCCATATACAGGCACTGCTGATGGCGGTACGCCATTTTTTGCCCTTGGAAGCTTTATTTTTAAGTTTTTTCACAACTTTTTTTTTATTCCCTCGCGCCGATCCCTTTGTCCGGGGAGTTCTCTCTTGCCCTCTCGAAAGATCTTTAAATTAAAGTGACCGACTATTTTTATTTTCTTACGAGAGAAAACAATGTTTAATTTCACGGATCGTTTCCGCGAGTTTCGGGAAATGATTTAAAGGTAATATCGCTGACGAATGATACACATAACTGAAGCAATAACGTTATAATAAGCACGAAGTTTATTTCAAGATACAAAAATACTTCGTTAATTATATATAAGTATTATAGTTTTTGTATTTGACGTGTGTCATTAGGCCTGGATCTTTTTTTGCGTCTCGCTATTGATCTCCGAGGAAATTTGCGTGAAAAGAAGATTCCAATTCCAAACTTCATCCGGTTCCTTCACTAAATTCTCATTGTACAGCTTGTCTGCGAGGAGAGAAAGACTGATGCCATCCAACGATGTGTACGCGGCATTTTTCACCAGGTCAGTGTCCAGCTCCTCGTACGCAGTCACTCTGTTTGCATTGACTCTGAAAATTATACTTTATTAATTTAATCTCCATCTCGCGGATACAAAAAAATATTTTCTTTACGGAAACAAATTACATTTTTCACACACAATTATACATTATTATAGTTAAAAGAACAAGAAACTGAAACGCAAAACAAATACTTGTATAATTTATCATTTTTAATAATTATAATAATTATCTTTCTCCCTATTATTGGGACGATAGACTGATAATTTTAATATTTTTACGTCTAAATTATTATAAAATTATACAATTATCTTTTCGTACGCGACTCTCGTGTAGGAACTTTAATATTTACGCAGGAGAGCTTGCAATATCAGACGAGATAAAATTATTATAAAATTATAAATTATCTTTTCGTACGCGACTCTCGTGTAAGAATTTTAATATACATTTTTTTCACAAGAATGCCAATAATAAGAATAAAAAATACTTACGCAGGTGCGCTTGCAATATCAGACGAGATGTTATCCTCCTGAATTTCATCCAAATCTGGTATTACTGGTATATCTACAAATGCAAAGTTCAATAATATTGAAGATAGAGCGAGTGGTAAAGAAATATAATGAATATCTAAATTTTTTCCTGCCTCCTTTTCTCAATATTAAAAAATAACATCAAAAAAATTAATCTAAATGACTGGAAATGAATTGCTAATTGAACAGTAGTATTACAAGCTCTTAATATGACTTGTTCCAAATCGACTCACCGTCTTCTTGTTCCTCCTTTTCAATCACTCGGAAACGCTCCCTAAAAAATAATTCATCAATAGCTAGAGATCTAATTCTTTTGAATTTAGTAATTTCTACGCATTGTACTCACTGTTCAATAATATTTGACGTCGTCCTTGATCTGTAATGAAAAAGAAATCGTTTGACAGTGTGGCTGTGTGTACTTAAATTACATTAACAAGTTTAGTTCGTTCATTTACTGTTATTATCTTCTATATTATATGTCTTTTGGAGATATATCAAACTCCACTTCGTGGAATTATTACTTGCATTGAGTAAAATTGATGCGAGCTTGCGTATTACAAACTATAAACTTAATATGAATCCAACCAACACGAGTCTAACAATAAGACGTGAATATACGTGCGCTAAAAATGCTTTAGTGTCTTACTTCATTTTCTTCATGTGCAATTTAACTATTTGTGTAGTAAACTTTTTTTATCTCTTTTCGAGACACTAGAAGTCTGCTGCGAACAGTTTTATTGCACATAGATTAGACAAAGGCGGAAAAGGGGGTTTACAATTTTTTAATACTCGTATATCTACCTAAACTCGCGTTGGCTTCGTAAATTTACAATTTATACTTACTTGGCGCTTTTCAATTCGTCGCCCCAGCCAGTTTTCCTCGACCGGGGTGGAGCTATCGGTCTTTGCATAGATGCAGACTTTGCGGACGATAAGGAAACAGGGCTCTCCAGGGGGTCATCGTCGGACTTGCTCTCCTCCAGCAAAATATTCTGACCTGCACGTCTACCTAGGCGAGGTAGCAGCTGCAAGTTAATCGGTGCAATTTTTTACTCAAACTTAACTGTAGCGGTCACACTTAGAATTCCTTAGAGAACTATCACGTTCTTAGATAATTAACTTGTTTGTTGATTCTATCATGTCTCAAGAAAGTCTTTTAAATATCGATTCTTTTACCTTCTTCGAAGTGATCTCGAGATCGGTAGCCCAATCCATCTTTATTATTTATACGCAGCGTTAAAACATATGCGTCGAAGTGTCGGGTGAACGCTCCTGCGTCGTAAGCCACTTGAAATCAAACCTTACGGTACATTTGACAAGTGTACGACCGCTGCTAGCTCACGTTTGTAAGCGGTAACCATGACGACGAGCCGTATTCCTCCTGCACACATACGTACATACATACATACACACATACACTGGTAGCCACATAGGTATTTCATTTTACATGTGTACAGAATAAATATCTTATTGTTAAATAAATATATATTACAAGTCGGGGGAATTTCAAGGCTTGTTCTTTTCAGCTGAACTGACTGCACTAGGTCACAGTTTATCTTTCTCTTTCTACATTGGAAAAAGAGAGATGAACTCTGAACTAGTGCAATCAGTTCAGCTAAAAAGGACAGATCTAAAAATTCCTCGACTTGCTATATGATATCTATACAGTTTTCAAGATGAGAAAACGAAAGAATTATTCATTCATCAAATTATCAATTCGCTTATCTAACGTTGGCAGATTACCGAATTGCTCGAAAGAAGATTTCTTTCGATGTTTCGCTTGGTTCCTCTCTCCATCTTCGGCATCGTTTTTTCTTAGGGAAGCCAATGCTAGCAAGTCACGATCTTCTTAGTATCTCCCCCATGCTTCTTACCTGTGCCATTTTAAGGCATGTATACAAGCGAACGAACGGTCAACATCTGGACAAAATGCTCAGCATTGTTCGCTCGCATTCAATTCGTGTTTGATCCAATTCAATTGTCGAATGAAATATGATTAAAAAATTCCAAATGATTTGATAAAATTTAATTTTGCATTTGTTTATTGATTATCAGCTCGATAACGAATTATTTTTAGTGTAAATATACTTCAGAAAAAATAGGTGATCCGTTATATGATTTTTATATTAAATCTCTATTAATTAATCAATATTGATTAATCGGATGACGATTTTTGAAACATCTATTGTTACATAAAAACGTAAAGATTTAGAAATAATAGAACTACCTATACAGGTGAAATTCATGAATTAAAGAAATGCACTCGTCAACGTCCAAATTACGTTGGAAAATTGTTGTTATCCTGCATTAATTACAATCAACAAATCTTGTGATATTTATTACGTAAAATGAGAAAAATTTTACAAGTAACGTACAATATATGTTAAAACTATTTGTAATACTTTGTTTGAAATCACTGTACAAATATTAATATGTTTTACTTATAAATGTTATGATTGTTTGTCTCTTTTGACGTATACGAGCTCAAATTTCCCCAAATGTTTAAGGCAATGTAGTATCTAGCGATCACCAATTCGTTATAAAATCGTAATGCCTTAGCGCGCCAATTTGCATTAGACGCCCGAGCAAAATGTGAAAGAAGTAGCAATCAAAAATACTGATTTGTTGATTGAAAGAAGAGGCAATAAGATCATGCTATTGATTATGTTAATCGCGCGATTGTGGTCTCGAGAAGTAAAAAAAGGATATTGGAGCAAAAAGGAGGAGTTCGATAAAAAATATACAAATGTTAAAAGTCTTAAAAGTATATACGACACAACACTGCATTGTAGGACGTAATTTCAATTAATAGCTGTGTGACGTACGAAACAAGACATTTTATTTGTACCTTGATTAGGTAGACAGTCTCCTAAATATAAATTATTGTATAAATAAATGATACTTGGAATACCGTGTGATATTGCGTATAATTTTTTTTTCGCATTTCCCTCATTATATGAGGAAAATAAATAGTTTAAGCCTTCGTTAATACTTCGTCGGTCTCTGGTTAATCAGTTAGTATGTAATTGTCGTAATATATCATCACGCGAAACAAGAAAATAATTTTAACAGTCAATAGCACACGGCATTTTTAAATTAGTCTCTTCATGCTGATGTGAAACTAAAATAATTAATGTACAAAGAAAGAGAAATATTAGGAAATAAATAGGAATTTTTCTTAGACTATTCTCTTTCGGGAACACAATTGAAGTGGAAATTAGGCAAGTATTGCTCTTTTTTTTGGTACAATCGCGGCAATATCGTATCTCAATAATTTTTCGCTTTTTCCACTTGACGTTGATATTCCTCGTCGTCTGGATTTACCTCGCATTCATTGCCGTTATTAGGTACTCTCGCTTCGTTGTACCTGCAATATAACAAAAATACATAAGAATATATTTTTTTCTCAAATCCAAAAGATGAGTGATTCGTATTATGGGAATGAATATTCTGTTCATTCCTCTCTGTGCAATCTCATTAATACATCGTCTGCCTAACAAGTTTTGTATGTCTCATCATACACAAGAGATACATAGAATTTTCATTATAGGATATAATGGTAAAATATTCTGTAATATAATTAAAAATAATTAAAAATTAAAATTATTAATTATTGAATAGCACATATTTTACTTTCTGGCCATTTCTGTCATTTAAAATTTTATATTAGGGTACAGCGGGGTAATTTAAATAGTGGGGATAATTTGAATAATAATAAGCATTTGCAAGAATTTCAGAAAAATAAGAGATTTTAAGATACATTTCATTACATCAGACACTGATAGAATGAAATGTATCTTATAAAATCTTTCATTTTTCTGAAATTTTTGCAAATGCTTACTATTATCAAAATTATCCCACTATTCAAATTACCCCGTTGTACTTTAGATATAGTATTTATCTTTTGTAAATGTTTCAAAAAACTTTAATAGCTCCGGTTATAGATAATCACCATGAGACAACCTGTTACGATGCATAAAATAAAACTGCTTAAAACTGAAATCGTTAAAATACATAAATAATCGCTTAAAATATATTTTGTACTTTTCGATTGCGAATTTATTTATGCAAGAACGGGAATGCCCGCCGGGCGTCGTGCGCGAGTGTGTACCTCGTGAAGTCACCCTTGCAAAGCCGCCAAGGCAAGAGGTCGATCTTGTCGTGCAGCAGAGACGAGATGTCCGGGCTGACAATGTACGGTGTGCCGGCGCCGGAACCGCGGGTCAATAGTTTTCTATTCTCATCGTAGCAGCAATGTTGCGCGGCGGCGCTCTCACTTTCCAGAGTGGGTAGTGTCTGCACACAGTAAACCGCGCCCGACTTGTAGATCCCCATCCGGTCCTTGTCCTTGCTCACGTCGCGCCAAGCGAACTTCTTGTCGCGCTTCTTGTCCCAGATCCCCTGGTGATCGTAGAAGATGTCGACGCTCGGATACAGGCAGGGACACGCTGGCAGGTCGGCGACGGATCCTGCGGACACACGCAACACCCAACACAGACACACGTCGGATGTCGTCCACGTATATAATGAGGACGGTATACATCTCGCGAAATGCATTTTTCGCGAGCTCAATTATGAAGTTTCGTTTTTACCCGGAAAGGCCCTCTCGATCTTCTCCCTCACGTCCAGCCACTTCTGACAGCGGTCTTCCTCGTCGAATTCGCTCGCGCTGACGACGCCTTCGTCGATGACGGCACTCGAGTTGGACGCGTCGGGCTCGGTATTGTTGACCTTTTTGGAATTGTTCCCCTCTTTGGAACTGTTCCCGAGCGCTTCGACCAATCTCGCCAGGAGAGACTCCAATCCTCCGTGAAACGGATAGTAATCGTCGAGAGTTTCGCGAATGTTTTCGACAACGTCCGCGTCGTCGTTTTTATCAAGATTGCTCTCGCCAAAAAGATCCATTTCAAATGAAAAGCGATTCGCCCGTTGCTTAGTTCCTTTATTGCCCTTCCTCGAATTTTTCGATTTCGGCCTCGTACGACTGCTCGCGTTAGAAATCCTCGCGGCAAGTGAAATGCGATTCGTCTGTTGTTTAATTCCTCCCTTATCGCCCCTCGTCGAGTTTCTCGATTTCAACTTACGAGGTCGATGCGCGCGATTTTTGTTCCGCGAGCAACAAGCTTTCTCCCTACGCTTTAAATCACCCTCTTCGTCGGACGGGACGATCGTCGTCGAAATTTGATCGTGTAACAATCTCGCATTATCTGCCTTACGCTCGACATCTTGCGTCTTCGTGGAAATTTGTACCTGAAAAGTAGAAAAAGTAGAGAGTTCAACATCAGACTTGTGTTGCAGTGATCAGGAAATCAAATCCTATATGATGCCGATTATACAATCACGAGCAATCCTGACGTCAAATTGAACAACAAATAACCGATCAGCTTATAATTTCCTTTCTTTGCATATATCTGCAACGTGGTATTGAGACATTTAATCGTGTAAAGTTTCGATGCTGTAATTATTTCCTGAGATTCAACCTTTTTTTTTTAAGTCCGAATTCACGGCGTCTTTAATCCTTAATTTTAGTATATTATACATTAGGGGATGTAAAGTCTCAGGAACAACTTTCAGAAATATAAAAAGAAGGGAAATAAATTTATTTTCTATTCTGTACACGTATACTTTCTGCTGTAATTCTTGATATTTTTCCACCATTAATTGTGCAGAATCAATTAGTTTTATTTATTTTTCTAGAAAAATAAGATATAATTGGTCAAAATCACAAAGTAAGAGTCCCAGAGATTCCACATCCACAGTCGATGATTAAAGCGCTCTAGGGCATAAAAATAAACGAGAATCCCTCACAATCAACTTGTAACAGTTTTCCTATAAGCTGTATTTATCTCGTATGGGGTTTGAGATAACGACGAATGCATATCGCACCGACCGCGACACGCAGAGAACCCGCGTTTATCTCGGGCCGCGTACAAAGTAAATGCGATCGGGATGTATGTCGTATCGTAAGAGGCGATCCATCAAAACAGAGAGATCGATGACCGGCGTGACTGCGCGCGCGGTATACGTAAAAGGCTGACACGGTCGTAGCGACATCAAAGGACGCCGGCATTTGACGCGTGGATAAGAAGAACGCGGAGGCGGAGAAGAGGAGAGAGAACGATCACAGAGAGAGAGAGAGAGAGCGCAAGGGGAGGAAGAGCGTTTTACTTCTGAGAAACGGCACGCCGCAAGATCGTTTCCCGTCAATGGCGTAGCCGCCTGTGTCGGTAGCCAGACAGATTTTCGAATGCACCGCGTGCATGAAAATTACGAGAGCAAAGACAAGTAGGGGTGGTCAAGTAAGAGCCAAGCGCAACGCGTCCTTGCGGCCACGAATACTCTCGGGTAGTGGCGAACGTTCGAATTCGGGAAGATTTTTAAAGTGTTTCGTCATATGAAAATTCGAACTGCAAACATCGCTTGAAACTAATAATTTTTACGAGTCCTGAAAAAAATCTGAATGATCTTCAATAACGCGAAAGTCTTGAAAAGCCTAAGAAGTCTTCTTTTCGAAGAAATCAGATGAAATATTTATTAGATTCTTGAAAATAAAATATAGCGCTAATTGAAGTGACATAACGCGTACGGTGTTACGAAAATAAAAAATTTCTGAAGTATTCGAGACTTTTTATAGACATTTCAGGCTCTCTAAAAGTTTTTAATTTCGCATAATAAGTTTTTGCATGAAAAATATATATAAATTTACGCAAAAATATTAAGCACCAACAGCAACATCCGCTTTGACCATATTTATAGTTATCGTTATAGTTATCATTATTCGCATATCGAGGATACAAGAATAACATAAAAAGAAAAATTTTTCTTAAATTCTTTTTCTATCAAATTTCGAATCGAGTGTTAATACGCTTTAAAATAAAAGAAAAAATTTCATCGATCTTTAAGTGCACAAGAAAAAGAAAATATTCCTTTACACAGATGGGTAATGTTTTTGGGGGGTGTTACGCAACGATGACTTACTGCGAAAGAATTTCGTGTAAGTCCGATTAAAAAATGCGAAGAAAAAAGAAATAAAATCAGATGACAGCTTCGCAGGACGGGTCTCCGATCGTAGATGAGTTTCGAGAAAGAGAAATGTCTTGTCGCGTTTGGGGCTCGTACATACTTACTTCGTGATCCTCGTCGCTGCGCGAAGCCGTGAAGGTCGTGTGAAAAATTGCCGCGGCGCAAATCACGAGCAGCGCTTTCATTTTGTCGCTTCGTGCTCCGATCTCGACGGGACGTTCGCGGCGGCGTTCCACTTCTCAGCTGTACTCGACGTTTCGAACATAACTAGCGTGCCCGCACCACAATCGATACCCAAATACGCGGCAAATCACTCGGGCATCCCGTCTCGCCTGTTTACCATCGGGGGACGTGACGTCGTCGCCCGATTTTTTTTCCCGTCGTCGCTCCGATCTCGGTCTGGTCCGAGTCTGATAACCGGAAAACTCGGCGCCCAATTTGCTTGTTTACCAGCCGCGTTCCACGCGCGACGGGGTAAACGAGTGCCGACGCCGGCCGACGTGCAGGGTACGCGCCGCGGGGAAGAGAAAACCGACCGATGACGCGTGATGTAAGACGGACGATAGGCAAAAGAACGGAAGAGCCGAGGGTTCGGGAAGATCCTGAAACGGGGGGAAAGGTAGGCGCACGCGGCGCACACCGTTCAAAGGCCTACCGCTAGGCACATAGTTGTGAAGTCTGTCCCACTGTAACAGCCGGCGATGAACAGAGGGAAAGACGGAAAGGAGAAGGGAAGAGAAGGG